GGGGGGGGGGGGGGGGAGAGAGGTTCGGTGCGCGCATGCGTCCCGTAGCAGAAGCCGCTCACGACGCCTCCGAGAGCGGCCCCGCCCCTCAACCTCATCCAACGCGGGGTCACGAGCGAGTGCTGAGCAGGCGCCTTCACAGAGCTGTTGTGATTTGGTTCTTCGGCGCTCGGATGGGGCGCGCGGAGGGGTCAGCGGGGCGCGAGCCGAGCATCGCTTGAGCCCAGCGAGTCGCCATCAGTCTCATTATGAGGCGCGGCGAGCGGAAGGGTCACGGAGGCGCCTCCGGCAAAGCCGCGCTCGAAGAAGGGCAACCGCCGCCTCCGTCTCCGCTGCCTCCCCCCAACGGCGCTTATCGGCCCGTTGTGGAGGGGCCGCGCGGGGACCCGCCGCCAGTGGCAGCTGCAGCAGCGCCAGACGCCGCTGTCGTCACTCATGGCGACCGGCGCAGCACCGAGTCCGAGGTGTACGACGATGGGACCAACACCTTCTTCTGGTGAGAGGGGCGGCCGTGTTCCGTGTGCTCCTGTTCTCCGCCGGGTTGCCCTGCTGGCAGAACGAGCACACGCATCTAGACCCTGTACATAAAGATAAGGGCACAGAGGGTGGCAGAATAGCTGGATCTGGAGGGAAGGATTGATGGGCGATTAGTCAGAATGTCAGCAACAGAGGCGAGGGTTCAATAAGGATTTAGAGCTAGTACTTGATTCCAGTGAGATGTGTATGTTCTCTGAAAGAGATGGAGCATCACGTTCTTAGGTTCAGGACAAACCTTTTTTTAAATCGCCCCTCCCCTGCTCTCTGCTGACTTGGCTCCATAGCTATTGCTGTCTCGGATGTCATTTTTCATCACTTGCTATCGAAGATGTAAACAAGTTTACAGTTACTAATGCTGTTACTGAACTTAATTCTGTTGAAGAGCGAGTCACCAGTTCAATCAGTAAACCCGATTAAGATTGCTTTAAAGACTATTCCCACAATGCAAGGATTTTCCCTCCTCTTTTTCTCTGCTGTATTGCTCCTGAATCTGTTAAGACTCACTAGAAGTCATAAACTGAATAAGGGATGTTGGGCCATATAATAACATTCTGGTGAAATGAGCCAATTTAATCTGCATCAATAAAGGGGAATTGAGACTGCCTCCCTTAACTATGTTTAACATTGTGCTTGAATTTATGCCCTTCTTTTTTCAGTAGTAGTGATGGGATGTTTTCCTGGACTGTTAGGGAAAAGGAAATCCATTTTTATGTTCTTTGTCTTTTCTAAATAGTTTCTGATGGTTCTCCAGATTCATACTATTCTGGCTCTTACCCAGTTTGTACAGGTTTTCTACATGATCATCTGTTTTTAAGAAGCAATGGGAGAAGATTGTAAAATTATTTTCTAGATTAGCAGCCTTAGAAACTGAATTATGTAGAAAGTTTATTGCTGAGAGCATGCAAAGAATGGAAGTGTACCAAAAGAAGAGATTGACAAAGCAACTTGATTACTTTACAAGTAATCCCTGAAGAAAGTACATAAGAACACTACCTGAGAGAATAACTTCTGAGTGAGCCATAGTAAATTTCTGCTATTTTTTCCCTTACACCTTTGATTTTAGCTGATGTTTTAAAATCCTTGTTGCACATAAGAAAAATGACATTAGTGACACCTCCACTGGTTAGAAAATATGTTTACAATTGCACTTGTAAGTCTTTATACAAAAAGCACCCATGAATTTTATAATAAATGATAATGTATGTTAATCACAAGTCTTGGCATCAGCTAGATGGATTGGATCCAGAATATGCTTCCTGCAAATAGAAGGGCAGAAAGTTGTGTGTTTCCAGTTATCTTGCAGTACTTCCCATGCAACTCTCCTTTTTTCTTACCTGCACCATTTACAGAGAAGAGAATAAAATAGCTGTAGACTAAAAAAAAAAATGGTTTGCTTCATATTGCAGGGGGCACAGTTGTCCGGCTCTACAAAAAACTTGGCAAATAGAAGAATCTGAACTGGCTTTGTATGATATGAACTTTGTGATCTTGGCAGTAAGAGGGATACACCGATAGTCAGCAACAAATTTAGAACAATCCTAGAGGTTGTTGCATTCCAACGTAGTAACTAAGAATTCATTGCCCTAGTATTTAGTGCTCTGCGATTTAGGGAACACCATCTTTCATTATAGGTTAGGGAAGCATTATAGAGAGTACATTAGGAACATACTATGTGGTAGCAAAAATAGTGACCTAGTAACTGGATCTTACTGACATTTTGGGTTATGCCATCTTTTAAATGGAGAATGTAGGTAAAATTGTCAGGTTCCTGTAAAATTACTTCTGCTGAGCGTTATTTTTTTCCCATAACAGTTCATAATATAATTATACTTGGAAATGAGTATATATTGTGATGCAATAAGATTTTTCTTCCTGTAGGTTAAGTATTATTTCAAAGAAGTGTCCATTTGAGTCTCCTATTTTTGATGTCCCTATTTATTCTTAGTTATTCTTATACTTGGCTGAGCATTTAAAAATGAAATTTGATACTCTTACATTTTTAGTAGTTAGAGTTACAATGATGATGGAAAAAGCAACTACAGTAGTAAAGATCTAATTTACTTCATGCTAGTAAACTGGAATTCATTAGTGGAATAATGTTAGTAATTAAAGTATCTTTATATAAATGTTGTCATAAACTATCAAAAGCTCTCAAATTTTGGGTTTTGTTTTTTTTTTGGCTGATGCAATTCTACTTATGTATTGACAAATCAATACAGATTCATGGCAGTTTACAAAACAGTTGACAGAAGGAATCAATTAAAACAATCAAAAACTAAGTTACAACAATACAAGTTAAATAATAATAATAATATAATGGAAAAAATAAATAAATAAAACAAGTGATAAGAAAACCAAATTAAGTAATACTAAGAATTAAATTAATATAAGTAAATTAAATTAAAGGTGGTGATAAGAAACTATTCAACCAAATGCTTTTCAGAAAAAACATCTTCAGTAGCTTCCAGAACATTAGAAGCGATGGAGCAAGCTTTAATTCTAAGGAGACTGTATCCCACAAGGCCTGAGTAGCAACTGAGAGCAGTGCCTCCTGGCTTCCATTCCCTTTACAATACTTCACAAAAGTGAGGTATGACCAAAAGCTTCTTCTGGGAAGAACATAATAGATGGGCTTATTCAGGTTGGGGAAGGCAGTCCTGTAAGAAGTTAGCCACCAAGCTAGTTTATAATACTGATTATATAAGTACAAATGTAAAGCATGAATTTCAGAAATATGTATGTACTGTATTTAATTTTTTTGTTTATTGAAACAAAAAGAAGAAACTCTATAGCACTTTAAAGGCTAACAGACATTTTGTGAAGTAGTCTCCAGTCCATGAAATACAATCTAATAAATATAATGTCTTCTATTTCAAGAAAAAAAGTAATTTAAGTGTTCATGGAATAGAAGTATAAGGGTTGTTTTCTAACTAATGCTCCATTTATATTGTATTTATATTGGAAGAAGGAGCAAAACTGTTCCTACTGGCCCCTCCCTGAAAGTACATACAGTCATGAAATATCAGGAATGAAAATCTATGCTTTTACTTGAATGCATAAGGATTTTTCTTTTTCTGCTTAGCTTGTAGACCCAGGTGGCAATAATAATGCAGTTGGCGCAATCTACTTTCCATCTTCACTCATAGAAAATATATAGTAAGGGATTCTTGTGATCAGGCCTTTCATCTATAGTATTCAAATAGATACAGAGATAAGCACAATAACTGTTCACAGTGATAGTTAACGGCAGAAACATAACTTTCCAGAGGTAAAGTAATGCCTCCTGTAGGAGAAGAAAACATGATTTTAGTTAAACATTAAATACATAAAATAATTTACTGATTAGTCAACAATTTCATATTGGAGTCTTTGGCATTCTTTTGTTGAAGAATTGTAACTCACAGACCAGTGTTTCTTAAAATGTGGTCTGCAGTGAGGTGGCTGGGCTACAGCCCTGGGAGTAGGAGTCTTGGCTGATTGGAGGACTTGGATGCCCAGGTTGATGGTGGCAGTGGGAGAAAGAGTGGGCAGTTGTGCTGTGGGAGAACTGACCTGCATCCTGTAGCTGCCAACTGGCCAGCCACATGACCCAACAGCCATCTTGGTAGTTTTGTCCCTCTTTGTGGGACTCAGGACTTGGATGGACTATTGTGGTGGACAGCCTGAAGGGAAGACCTGGACCAGCAAGGATATTGTGTGTTTTGTATTGTTTTGTTGGAGTGGGGCCTGGAGGGAGCTGGTCATGCCTTCTGCCCCTGGGTGAGAGACAGTGGCGGGAATGAGGCCCAGTCTACCAGGCCTACTGGATGTGAAGTTCTCTAGGGAGAACTAGAGAGAACTCCCTCTCTCCCTATGAGAATAGGGAGGCCAGAGGGAGGATTCAGTAGGTTTGATGGTGTGGGTGAGGGATGGGAGGCACTGCTTTGATTAAGTGCTAATGGTTTCAGAAACTCTGGTAGCCTGGGTGGAGTCTAATTCATCCCCTGTGGTTTGTTGTTGGATAGGATGGGCCCCTTTAGTCTGAGAATGAGAGGAGCTGGGGAGAATGAGGGGGAGGATGCAGTTATGGAATGCAGTTATGGGTGTTTCACATTTGCCCATATTACACCGCTGTGATATAAATATTTTAAATAAATATTCTACAAATGCAACAATTTTAATGTTTAGTATGGTCAATATTGATACATATAGCCCACACAAAATCTCTTTTGGGGTCTTCCATAATTTTTAAAAGTGGGAAGCGGTCCTCGGAGAGAGAAAATTTAGGAAACACTGGTCTAGGAAAGTGAAGTATTTTCTCACTGATTCTGAAAATTTACATTTTAAAAACCAGACTTACACATTTATCTTCTTGCATATATGTAAATATTGAGTCTACTACCTGTATGACAACATGAAACATTTTAATATGATTCAGTTGAGGGTAGAAGTAGCTGGCATGGTTATGTGACTGAGCCTGGATCAGACTGAAGAGGAATGTTGCGACTGAAATATGAAATAAAGGAAGAATGTTCATCTACCCCTTCAACTTTCTCATCCCATTTTGTTTTTCCCATGGGATTATCTTCTGGTCTTCAAACCCATTTGGAAGAGAGAAAAAGCAGTTTTGAAGAGATTGTATGAGACAAGGAAATAGTTCAACCTTCTGGTACAGGTTGTGCATTAAAGCTGCCACCACAGCTTTATCAGAGACTCTTGGCTGCCACATGGATCTGCTGTCATTCTTTCAACTTTGGCACTGAGAGAATGAAAGAATAACAGTTGCCCATCAACTGAAATTATGAGGTTTTCTCAGTTATCCTTATGAAATTCAACTTCCATGGTTGGACAATAAATGTATTGGGATCAGCTAAAATGACAGAAAAGAAGGCGTAAGCATTTGTGTTTTCCAGAACTTTTCTTTGTAAAAGGCAGGGGATGTGGAAAAAGCAAGGAAGTTCAAAAATTAGGTTGGATGTTATAGCTTTGAGGGGTGTTTTTGTAATTCAGGCTCAGTTCTAAGTTGGTATTTGTAGACTGAATGCTTTTGTTAGTTTGCATAGCATTCAAGAATCAAGAAAATGGTGGCTTTTTCCAGTTGTGAAAATATCAAAGCCTTTAGATTCCAAAGTGGGTGTTTTACTAGGTGAAAAGTTGTTGACCAATTACTTAATACTACTTAGTGGATGGAGAGGACAGAATCTTCTATAATCCCTCTTAAATTAGAGAAAGTCCTATTCTGATATAGACAGATTCCACCACAGTTGGTTGGATGTTCTGTAAAAAACAATAAAAAGATAAAGTGAAATCTAGAGAATATGAAAGTAGTCCTATTGCTCTTGAAGAAACTACACCTCTAAAGGCTTTGAGAGCATTCAGATTCTGCTTGGTTCCTAGAAAACAGCTAGTGGCAATCCCTAGCTTTTTTATAAGCTTGTCAGATTCTGAATGTTTTGGTTCAGAAGGATTTTACTGTAGGTTTTTTTCTCTCTCTCTCTCTTTACCTCAGTGATCAGCTGCTGTTTTATTGACTGCTTTTGCACACTTTTTTAAGCTTCAGCTTGTATAAAGTGTACAACTCCAAATACACAGAGTGAGTGAAAATATACTTTTGAGGCATTTGCTGTTTTCTCTCTTGTGAGTCTAGTTTAAGGTGATGTTATTCTTTTCCTTGCCTGAGATGATCATATCATGGATTTTTCTATTGTAGCTATTGTTCAGGCTTGATCCATTTAGTCTCATTAAGTGAGTTAAAATAGCCGACAACTATAAGCAGGGCTTTTTCAGTACTTGCAAGCTCTGGACAGTTCTCCCCATGGAAACCAGCATTTTCTTCAGGGCCTTTCAAAAGAGGTGTAAAACCCCCTGTTTTGGAGATACTAATGGGTGACTCCTCTGAACTTGTACATGTAGCTAGTGAATTTGTAGTACTTTGCCTTTTAAATGGTATATTAATGCATTTTACATTAGGGGTGTGTTAGCGGGGTACTTTGCCTTTTAAATGGTATATTAATGCATTTTACATTAGGGGTGTGTATATTAATGCATTTTACATTAGGGGTATGTGTATTTACAAACAGATACACATACATGCACACATAAAGCTTTAATTTTTGCTGGTGAAAATACTGAGCCAACTATAAACAGTGCTTCAGAAAAAGTTGATTTTTTTTTTCCTGGTCAACAGGCAAGCTCACACGTTAACAGTCCTGTTTATCCTTACTTGTACCCTGGGATACGTGACCTTGCTTGAAGAAACACCACAGGACACAGCCTATAACACAAAGAGGTAACTAACTTTTACAGAATTATTGCAAGCAAATGCTGTGTTGCCAACTTATTAATTAGTTTAGTTTGTTGGAATACCATTTTTTCAATTACAGTACTTTTATATTTGGGATTTGTTTTCTGCAACAGTCTGTTGCATATTTAGAAATTCTCCAGCCTTATTTCTAAAATATATTATTTGTATAGTAGATGATAAAAATATAATTTAAATTTTCTGTATCGATTAATCCTGCTGTTCTAAATAGAGGTTTCTGTTTATTAAATCACAAGGCAATTTGATAACTCCAAAGATCATTTCAAGTTGAAAATGTTTTTTTAATATTTCTCTCTGTGATGAAGTCTCACTGAACTTACAAGGACTGATATCTAAGTAGGCAGAGATATATTGGGTTACCTCATGAATCAAATGGCATCTTTTGATTGTATCCTAGAGCAAATGTTTTGTTAAATTAGATTGAGAACTAATGCATTTGTACAAAATCAGGATAGAAAGGATTCATTCTATACTGCTTTCAGTGAAGTAAATATTGGACTACAGCTGATTTCTTTCTATAAGCCCAAAACTACTGAATGCCAGAGTATACAGTACTGAAAAAAAAACTGCTACTTGTGAATCTGATAGTTGTGAGAAGCAGGATATTGTAATGTTGAAATGGAATATAAATAAACAGAAAGAATAATTATTTCACCAGTCAAACAACAACAGTCTAGTTTAATCACTCCTCCGCTTTTTTTTCCCAGTGATACTTAGATTCAAACTAAACTATTAGGGCCACAATAATGGGTGAAAATGTGGAAGGGTGTTTTGTGAACTCCTTCTTGAAAGGTAGTACACACATTAAGTAGGTGGCAAATTCGTTATATAAGCATAAATATACACGTTGAGATTGCACTTTCATCTGCTACTTTACGTGACATTTCATTGGAACAGCCTGCCAACTGAATTATTGCTATTTTTTTTCCTAGTGTAATTCTGGAGGCAAAAATTGTACTAAAACATTTACAGTGGGGCAAAAAAGTATTTAGTCAGCCACCAATTGTGCAAGTTCTCCCACTTAAAAAGATGAGAGAGGCCTGTAATTTTCATCATAGGTATACCTCAACTATGAGAG